TTTTTTTTTTTTTTAGATCTAGCAGCTTTACTACAGGCTGAAATACATTTAGGTCCTTAAGTTTCTGACAAAGAAACTTTGTTTGTAATTTTGCCTTTTGCCTCCACCACAGTCTATTTTACAGAAAACAATCATGATTTAAAATCCACTGTGGTGGTGTAACGAGGTGTGCTATTAAAAACTATCATTATCCAAAAACTTTTGGACCTACCTGTGTGTCAGCAATTGACACTGATTATCAGGAAACCAGTTAAAACAGAATCCAGATGTCTTTTAACAGTCACCTGACTGCGCTGACCACCTTCACATTTGTGGATTTTCATCAGGTTTTGTGTTGATTAAAAAATAGTTCTTCCATCACAAACTCCAGTTTAGCGTTTTTGGTTTTAACTAATAAAAATCTGCCTTATTTTAATACTAATCAGCAAGTCTTTGCTTCCAAACATGTTAAACTGTGCAGTGAAAAGTTTTTGCCACCTTCCTGATTTTGTAGTTTTTTGCATATTTGTTAAATTTAGATGTTTCAGATCATCAAACGAATTTTAGAATTAGAAAAGATAAGCCAAGTAAATAACTGGGTTAGTTATTAAAACGTAATAAGTGGCTGTGCCGCCTTCGGCAGAAGCAATCTGCAAGGACTGCAAGACATGGTGATGCCGCATAAGCCGAGAAACCTTGAGCTTCAAGGCATAAACTCATGGCCGGAGATTCTTCTTCAGGATTTTATGGTACAGAGGAGAATTCATGGTTCCATCAGGGAACAGCAAGTTGTCCAATTCCTGAAGCAGAAAAACAGCCCCCAAACATCACCACCACCATGTTTGACTGCTGGTATGAAATTCTTTTAGGAGATGCATGTAACAGGAATGAAAGCTTCCAAGAAGTTCACCTTTCGTCTCGTCAGAGAATATTTTCTAAAAAGTCTTGGGAGTCATCAAGATATTTTTGGTAAATATAATATGAGTCTTTGTGTTCTTTTGGCCAGCACTGGTTCTTGCCTTAGACTCTCACACTCATGCTATTTTTGCACAGTCTCTTTTATGTTGTTCACTTGTGGAGTGACTTTAAGTCAGACAAGTTAGGCCTGCAGTTCTTTTTGACCAGGGGTAGGCTACTCCGGGCCTCAAGTGTCGGTGTCCTGCACGTTTTAGATGTGTCCTTGATCCAACACAGCTGATTTAAATGGCTAAATTACCCCCTCAACATGTCTTGAAGTTCTCCAGAGGCCTGGCACTAAACTAATCATTAAAACCTGCAGGACACCAGCACTTGAGGCCTGGAGTTGTTTAACTCTGCTTTAGATGGTCTTCTAGGTTCATTTGTGACCGTTGATCATCTTGGAGTAATTTTGGTAGGATAGCTGCTGCTGAGAAGATTCACCACTGTTGTAAGTTTTCTGCATTTGTGGATAATGATTCTCACCGTGGTTCACTGAAGTTCTAAAGCCTTAGAAATGGCTTTGTAACCCCTTTCCAGACTAATAGATGACTTTTTGAGATCTGTTAGCCTACTTCACTTCACCATCCAGCTTCTGTTTAAGGGATTTCTCAATTCAGCTGGTCTGGCAGTAATCAGGCCTGCGTGTGATGAATGTACTGAACATGTCAGCTTTCCAAAAACAATGTGGAAAATCAGAATTAAGTCATGTCATAACATAACAAGAAAGAAATCCTGAAGAGGGCAACTACTGTTTCGCTATCTTCTAATCAGCAGCAATGTTTTTGAAAGGCACTGTATTCAAAATCTTGGCAAAGCTCCACACAGAACTAGTAATAGTAACAGTGATAACTGTCATACACACAAGTTGCCTCACGTGTTGTGCTTCCAACTTAATGCATTTTCTTTTTCTCTGTGTCTCTCAGCGTATTTTTTCTAGGTGCAGTGCTGGTTATTGCTGCCACATTTCTTTACGGCTATGAGCAGAAACCTGCCAGCAGCAGCACCAACAAAGTGTAATCAGAGACTTGCGTGGATTGTGGCTCTACGAACTGTGACCAGGAATTTGCCACATGAACAATTTCATTACAGAAAAAGTAAAGACAAGTTACTGGGAAATACAGTCTTTTGGAAGTGGGCCTTCTCTGAAAAAGTGCAAAATGGATGTTAGCAGTGACTCATGTGAAAGCTATTGTTTTGAGCATGTCAGGTAAACTTAACACTACAGAAAAGCAAACGGCGTAAGGCGAACAGGAGGACATGATAAGCAAACCTTATCCTTGCTGGCAAACTAATGTGAAACTAGTTCACGTGTGTCAGTATTAGAACTGTGACGTTCCACCTCAGGAGGTACAGATGCTACATTTAAGCTTTGGGTTGCTAAAGAATTGTAATTTTAAAATGATCACGTCTTTTGAAGAAGTGGCACATAATTTTAGTGCAAATGGAAAGTCCAGCCATCCATTCACTTCCGCTTATCCTTTTCAGGGTCGCGGGGGCAAATGGAAAGTGTTTCTTTAGATATCAGCAGAGAAGTTTTGAAAAAGCACAGCAGCATATTGCACTTACTAGATCCCCACAAGCACGTGCTAAAATAATAATAACAAAGGAGCGCGTCGTATCAGATTTTTATAATCTGTCTGGATCCTCCACCACATTGCAAAGGTGCTCTACTGGAGGCTGTTTGAGTACAGCGAGCTCTCATGTTCAAACAAACAGTTTGACATGATAGGGTCGATTATCCTGTTGGAAGCATCAGAAGATGGGTCGTAAAGGGATAGACAGGTTTAGCAACAATACTCAGGGCTGTCATACATACAAGGGCTTGTGTTCTGCTTAAAGCGTGCCAGGAAAATACCTCTAAAACTATCATGTATTAACTGTAACCCCAGTTTCTTAGCTGACAGCAGGTTCGATGTGTTATGCATTCAGAGATGCTCTTCTCCCTACCTTGACTGTAACAAGTGTTTATTCGAGTCGCTGTTGTCTTCTTGTCATTTCAAAGCAGTCTGATCATTCTCCTCTGAACTCAACAAGGCATTTTCACTACTGTGCACAGTTTTCTTACCTGTTTGGATCATTCTTTATGAACTGTAGAGATAGTTGTGTGTAAAAATAAACCAGCAGTTTCTGAATTACTCAGACCAGCCTGTGCAAAGTCAATGAAATCACTGTACCTCCACATTCTCACACTCAGTTTTCAGCATCTCATCCTGAATATGTCTACATGTCCTAATGAGCAGAGTTGCTGCGATGTGATTGGATGATCGTAGATATCCAATGAGCAGTCTGACAGGTGTACCTAATGAAGCTGCCGCTGAGTGTACGCTTAAGATGGGTTACATTTAACATATTCCAGACACTGCCAAGCACGTAGAAAAATTAAAACATGTTGCGAAGCGGTCAGACTGACTTCATCTTTTTTTTGTTGTTTTTTTTGTTTCATACAGAACAACATATATATGGCAAACAATAAAGAACCTCAGTCATAAACCAGATGTTACATGCTGGATAAGACAGATAACGTCTTCGTTCAGAAACAAACAAACAAACAAACCAAAGCATATATTGTAAATCACAAAGAAAAAACATTTGGGCACTTTGGGACCTTTCGTAAACTTTCTATAAATCAGTCATTTAGTCTGTTTAAATAACCAGTTCTTGCCGTCCATGTGGTGTTCAGTTTGTTTTGAAGGGGCAAAAACATTTTTATTTCCTATGCTTGAACATTTTTTCTGAAAGGGCAAAAGAGCTGTTTGTATTATCAGTACGAGGAGCTCGTGTGGTTTTTGGTACTTTTCTTTCTTTCTTTGACATTAGTGGGAGGTTTTCTAAGTAATAGTAAAAACATTGTTTGGGAACGAAAGAACTGCAATAAGGAATACTGTGTATTCATTTACAAAGCAAACGGGAGGCGAATCCTTGACAGCACTTCCATCTAGTGGTGGAAGGAGGAGTAAACGTGCTGCAAAGAGGAGGGGTTACCTCTGTCCAAAGATGCTGAATGTCCTTTTTTCCCTTTTTAAAAAAAAAAATAAGAGATGAAATTTCACATAAAACTGAAACGACTGCTTTGACCTTGCTACTCACAGTCTGAACATGTATATCAAAAGCGCTCGTTTTAGGGTTATTTAAATTCAGAAAAACAAAAAGAAAAGCTCTTTATGTAACAACAAATGAATAAATTAAACTCTTTTTTTATGCTGAAACAACCAGCGCTGCCTTGATCTCATCTTACATCAAAGTCTACCTGCGTCTGTGTGTGTGTGTGTGTGTGTGAGCGCCCCCACACATACACTCTCTCTAATCCTCGCACACAGATGTCGGCACACCCATGAATATTTTGAACAGTTCTTTTCGTTTTCTTTCTTTTTCTTTTTTTTCAGTTCCAGTTGCAGTGCACTCAGGAAAACCAAACCGGTCTCTATAGCAACAGATGGCTGAATGAGCCGAGGTGCTGTGACCAATGAAGATACACTGAATTAATATGACCTATTTTAACCTCTGTGTACTTTTTAATTGGTAGCAACAATCATTTTTATTCAACATTGATCCCAGCAGATAAAAGCAGCATAAAATAAGATGGCAGGGCGTTGGTGGGAGAACTCATTTAGCCTATTTTCCTGTTAATTTTGCAGTGTTTCTAGCAGTTTTACTCCAGACACACACAATGTTTGCATAGTTGTGGATCTCAGAAAGGATTTGTGACTTCGGTATGGCCCTAGCCTGCGTGTATGAGGTGTGCAGCCAGGGGAGAAAAGAGAGCGGGCATATGGGAAGGTGAGGCGTGAACCTGGAGAGAAGCACAGATGGAAGATGAGTCATGTGACTTGTGCAGAGTGGCAGGCAGGGACCTGGACGGAGGCCCAGGACGGGCCGTGGCCACGACGCAGTGAAAGTCTTCATCTGCGTGTTTATCTGCAGAAATCTGCCGGACAAATAATCAGTATGACGTCACAGAAGCAGCGCTGGCACGGATCCAAATAAAACCCATTTTTAAAATGGTGTCTGGCTTAGTTTCACACCGGCAAAACCATCACGGGTACATTTCTATTCCCTGGATTGTAGTGCAACATCAAATGTAGCCTCGGGACAGTTTGGCCTCGCTCCACCTGTGATATATGTGCCGACTGCTATCGCCTTCTTGTTTCAAATCTGTTGTCCAGCACTGCTCCAAGTCATTTACGCTGCACTTATTGAACGCATAGCTGACATTATTTATTTAAGGTAGCAACAGATCTGGCTCATCCCTCTGACAAATCTGACACCCATCCAAAAAAACAAAAAACAAAAAACAAAACAGCATCAGCTGCACAACTGAGGCAAGAAACTATGCTGGGTGCGTACGTTTGGTGTATTAGCAGAACTCAAGTGAAAACTACAGCAGGCTGTTTTTTTTTCTCTTCTCCCAGACTTTTATGCCAAGTGGGTGCTGTTGTTACAATCTGGTCGATGTACGAGTTTATTCTTCACCTAAAAAGATTTGTATAATACTTTGTCTCTTTTAAATGATCTGTATACATCCTTTAATACTGAGATTGCTGAAGGCCTTTGTTGGCACTGATGAGGTTTACCAGCCCTCTGTATTTTTTGTTTTCTTTTTGGCTGACTTTTCAATCAAAATGTCTTCAGGTAACAAGTTATACAAAACAAATGCTATTCGAAAGTTCTCCAAGGAGAGGTTTTTTTTGTGTGTTCCTCTCATTCTCATGCAATAGGGTCTACATAAGGATGCAGGATGCAGTTCTTGTTGTGGTCTAATACCTCTGCGATACATCTAAAAACAGCTTTTCCTTCTCAGCTAAAAGGCAGGCATAACTCTATATTCCAGTCCAAAGCTTGTGAGGGGGTTCAAACAAGCTTTGATGCAGCTCCAGGTCCTTGACAAATAGTTTGCTGTGGACTTCTTGTGCTACGTCAGATCCCAGATGTAATATCCGTACCGGCTAATTGCGATAGTCCATTTGAATCATTCAGGAAGAAGAAGCCACGGAGGGGTGGAGGGGGGGCAACCATCGGGCTTACTTTCCTATCCATTTACACCCCCCTCCACTTCTTTTTTTTTTCCAAAAGGGAACAATCATATTTTTGTGTGTGCAAACATTTCACTCTCTTATTTTGGCGGTATGACGACGAGCGGCGCCCCTCTCCGCGGCCTCCACATTAGCACTTGGGCATCGTTGGCGTTCGGCCTCCCCAGCGCGTTGGGAGGGATGGGTTCCTGGTAGTTGAGGATGTGCGGTTGCTCCTGGTAGGGGCGGCCCACCAGTGAGGCCCGAGAGCCCAGCGGCATGTCTGGATCCACGGCGATATCCACCCGCATCCGCCACCGCACCGTCTGCAACACTATACGCTCCTAGAAGAGGAGACAGAGCCATCGTGTTAATATGGTCGATGTGCTTGCTGATGATCATTTAAGACCAAGCTGCTGACACAAAACTAAAACAGCCGTGCTTTCCTCGTGTTCTTTAATAAAATATCTCTTTCAAAAGACAACACATCCTGATTCACATGTTGTGCTGGACTGACTTCTGATGCTGCTGCTACATCAGGAGAGTTGAAGGTAATGATGAGATATTTTGTAACTTTACACCAGACTGGGAAAGTGCAGGAGAAAGTGATTACATCATAGCCAGTGTGAAATGGGAGAGTGGTTTCTGAAGATATACGGCTGTTTTTCTCCCCCCTCCCCCCATCTTATCGTGATGTGGGAACAAAGGCGGGATCGCTGTGTTTCGGGCCTACCTTCGTGACAGAGTTCATGGCCACCAACCAGGTGATGAAACTCTGGTCCCTGGTGATGTGGGTCAGCATGGGTGTGTTGCTGTTGCTGATGGGGACAGCCCAGGTCACACTGGGGTAGAAGTTGTCGTTCATGCTGACCGTCAGACGGGACGGTTTGGATGTAGGGCCGGTGAGGGTGACCGTCTCTGTGGTGTTGCCGTACCAGGGGTAGCTGACACCATCCGAGTCACTGATGGCCTTGACCCGACCCTCTCGCAGTTCTGGTAACTCCCAGC